TGATTGTTGAATGTGAACAAATCCAAGCACTTTGAGATTTTGAAATGGCTCAAGGAAACCATGATACATTTCAATCTTTTAAGGGTTTCAGCAAGTAGTTCAGACTTTGCACTTATTTAATATGCTTCTAAGAGTATAAGCCAGGTGTTTAATCTATACTGCTACGATCAATGATGACAAGTGGATGTAATCAGAAACTGTCACAAAAGTGATGATTTAGCTAACAAATGATTATTATATTGAAGTTCAGAAGAGAGTTTGAAAACACTTCCTTGAAATAAAAGTGTGCGGATGTGTATAGGAAGAATATATAAAAAAATCCCACCCACTCCCACTCATATCCACATCCATACCCATGCTCCCACCCTGCTTTAGCAAACAAACTCCATTGATTCAGTTCTCTATGAAAACAAGTAATTACACAATCATACTGTAGTTTGAAGAAATATTGTCAACAAACAGAATGATGTAAAGAAAAACAGATTTCAGCGACCATTCATTCTCAAGAAGCATACAATTCGAAAGCAAGCAAGAGTTATGTGTGATAAAACTCCTGCAACTATTCTTACGATACCTGTCGATATTGTCTATCGTATTTTGGACAAACTTGATGATCTTACAATAATATTGTCCGCTCGCAACGTTTGCGAACGATTAAATATAATAACTGATACGTATCATCGATATCAGGTAAAATTTTCCATTATTATTTTTTTATGTTGCTGTTTTCTGTTAGAATTATCATTGTTTGAGTATAATATTAGAAGTGGAATACCTTAGTTCTGTATTTTTGTCGCATGACCATCGTACCGAAAATATTTTTCCATATTCGAAGCTTTGTAGTCACAAAACTCTAATTAAAACATATGTCACAGTTAACATGAAAAGAAAACTGCATTTTATACGTATGAATTAATTTCCGGAACAAAAATACATATTAACAGCTGTGTTTTGTAAGTGAACTGAACTTATTGATTTTGAAAAATGTATACCATGTAAAGTCCTATTAAACGTCATAAACAGAAGGGTGTAGCTGTGACTGTGGATATGACTGTGAGCAGATTCTACATTCACACCACTTTAGAAAGGAAACTCCCCACATTTTTCCACGAGAAAAAACCAACTTCGAGTATTTTTCAAAAAAACATCCGTTGTTTAGTGGAATGCCCTTATTATGAGACAGCTGTTAATATGTATTTTTGTTCCGGAAATTAATTCATACGTATAAAATGCAGTTTTCTTT